TCTCTCTCCCTCACACTCGCTCACTCTCTTACTCTCTCACTCTCTTACTCTCTCACTCTCTCACTCTCACTCTCGCTCTCACTCTCTCTCACACACACTCTCTCTCACTCTCTCACTCTCTCACTCTCTCTCTCTCTCATTCTTTCTCTCTCACTCTCTCTCACTCTCTCACACTCTCTCTCACTCTCTCTCACACACACTCACACTCTCTCTCACACTCTCTCTCACTCTCTCACACACACCCTCTCTCTCACTCTCTCTCTCACTCTCTTACTCTGTCTCTCTCGATTTGTTCCCATATCCACCCTCCCCCCTCTCCCCCTGACTTCTCTTGACAAAGCTTCCATGCTGTTTCGCTTTCATACCAGCTTAGGCGTACTATCACACTCTTTAACACTCCTATACCTCTTTGCCCCCCCCCACACACACACACACGCACGCACACACACTAACACACACACACTCGCACACACACTCTCACACACACTCACACACTCGCACACACATACGCAAACACACACTCTTACGCACACACTCACACACCCATACTCACACACACACTCACACACACACTCACGCACACACACTCACTCAATCACACACACACACACTCACTCACTCACACATACACTCACACACTCACGCACACACACAATCACACACACACACTCACACATCACATCACATGACATCCGACCTTCTTAAGGACCTCATACATGCCCTTGATCTTTTCCAATATTCTTTCACCTCGCTCCCATTTTTTGACCGTCTCACAGAGCTTTTTACCTTCCTTTAACCTATCTTGACCGTGTGCCAAACCTTTTAACCTTTTTCCAACTTCCTTTGATCTTCTCCCATACTCTTTTACTTCGCTCACAGCCTCTCTCAACTTTCTCCTTTATCCTTTTACTTTCCACCGACTTGTCTCAGCTTCTCCCATACCTGTTTCACTTTCCTTCACCTTCTATCGGCCATCTACCATACTCTATCACTAACTTCCAACCTCTCTTGACTACATCTCAGTATAATTAGCCTTCCTCTAACCTCTCTTGGCTGTCTCCCATATCTTTTCACACTCCTCCAAACTCTCTTGAGTTTCTCCCAGTCTATTTCACCAACATCCTAACTTCTCCCATCATGTCCACTCCTACTCCCCCGCCCACCTCTGGCACCTCCGACTCCAATCCTCTTTAACTAAGACTGGAATAAGCTTCTTGCTCCCGGAGAAGGAAGCCTGTATAAAGTCCCGCCCTTATCTGATGCGATGACCGTCGCAGGTTACATCTGTTAACCCGATTACCCGACCCAGTAATTAGACGCGCTGGCGTCCGTTCACGCAACATCATCATTGTGACCTCGTCTGTGTACAGACAGACTCTCCTGAGACCTGTATCCGAAGTTGTCCCCTCAAACTTCCAAAAATATTTCGAAAACACCTGCACTCATCAATACCAGTTTTTGTACATGGTCTTACATTTCCGTTGTGCTTATGTTTCCTGGAAAACAATTTGTGAACCCACTTTGAAAAGAAAAAAAAGTTATCCCCAACCCCCCCCCCTCCCCCCAACCTCAACCCCCTAAAACAGCAACTGACGCAAATCTGGTACTTTTTATGATCGAATACACTCGTGACGTTACATGGCGCATCCACTTGACTATTTGAAATACGTGTGCCTTAGCTAGTTTACAACGCATAAAGTTTGATGTTTCGCCAACTTCGCCTCAAGCCTTATAGTGTGTCTGTTTTTCATAATCACAAATAAAGCAAAACAAAAGTTATATATTTATTTACATTACAATTAGTTTTCTACTATGAAATGATTATTAACAGATTTCACGCTTTGTCAGATTTCAACAGTTTACACGGAACTGTTGAGTTGGAGATTTCTTTACCGTTGGGCACGACATTTAGAGCTGACTATACAAGACTGAATATCACAGTGAACGGGGTGAAATTGGAACAAGTTAAAAATTTCTTTATCTTGGACAAGTAATAACATGTGGCGGCAGAAGTGAAACGGAAGTCAAGAAAAAAATAGGGATGGCCAAACACATTTTCAACAACATGCAAAAGTTACTGACATCAAGAGAAATAAGCAATACATTAAAAATAAGAATTGTCAAATGTTATGTATTCTCAACCTTACTGTATGGCACAGAGACATGGACAATGAAGAAACAACTGGAAAATCGTATCAAATCTTTGGAGATGTGGATATACAGAAGATTAGGTCGCATTTCATGGAAACAAAAGCTATCAAATACAGAGGTACTGAGGAAATTGGGAATGAAAAGAGAGTTGCTAGGTGAAATAAAAAAGAGACAAGTGAGATATTTTGGCCACATTAAAAAACATATCAGTATTGTAAAGATCATCCTAGAGGGAAAGGTTCAAGGTAGGCGAGCAAAAGGCAGACAGCGTTACAAGTGGGAGGATAACATCAAGAGATGGACGAACAGCATAATGAGTGAGTGTACATCATTGCAAGAGACAGGGCTTGTTGGAGATCCATTGCAGCCAACCTTCATTGTGGAGACGGCACCTGATTGATTGATACAAGACTGATTTTAGTGTACGGAAAGTGAAGAGACGGGTTACGTCAGGCGAGGGGTCGTCGTTTGCGACCCCCCTCCCCTTCCCCCCACCCCAGCTGCTTAGTGATTTGGAACCAGACTGCGAGAGAGAACTGACGGAGGCAGTTGTAGTTGCCCCTTGTCCCTTCCAGGATTGCAGTCCGCAGAACCAGCACCGCAAGAATGATAATTCTTCGCTGTTGTTTACTGTACTCTTCAACCTGTTTGCATTTGCAAACCAACAAAACATGGGTAATTCAGATCTACTGATCTCATGTTGTCAAACTTTCAGGGAGCAGCTCGGAGGGAAAAAACGCAAGAAGGAAGGAACACTTTAAACAAGAACTGGAAAAACAGGACACGTTAATCATATACTTGTTTTACTGACCAGACCACGTGGTACCACATTAAACAAAGAAGATGTTCCACGAATAACACATTGCACAATCATCATCAGGTGCTCTCGACAATCTGCGATCTCCTGCAGCATGTATCAGTTCGTGTACCGACATACCTCCATGCCATGCACCAAGACTTTCAAGCATCTTCTCTCGTTGTCTTCCTCTATCCCTCCTTCCACAGATCTGTCCAGTGGTCACATCATGTTCTATTTTCCCTCTTCTCATAACTTGGCCAAAAAATGATGAATGTCTCCTGATGTCTGTGATAAGTTTTCTTCGAGCTCCCACCTCTTTCAAAACCTCTTGGTTGCTCTTTTTGGCTGTCCAGGGTATTCTAAACATACTTCTGTAAAACCACATCTCTGAGGCCTCAAGGAATTGTTTGGCCTGCCTACCGATTGTCCAGGATTCACAGCCATATGTTAAAACTGGATGTACATTACACGATAAACAGTGTAAACAGGTGACGAACTCCTGAGGTCGTAGTATAATTATATATAAACAAACAGACAGATAATTTATTGATCGGCACTCATAGAAATTGACATTCGATACAGTAAAGCTGGCCAAGTATTGGGACAGCTAGCTCCCTCTCACAGCATACGGCAATCCCAGTCAGAACAAAGAGACATCTTATACAAAATAGAAAGCATATTAATTCCCACCATATGCTACCAGTGTCAGACGTGGTCACTAACAACAAAACATAAAAGAAAATTAGTAACTATGGAAAAGATATGTCTTACAAAGACTAGGAGGGACCGGAATAGATAAAATCAGGAGTGAGGTCATACGAGATAAAGTCGGCACAGAAACAATTCTAAATTACATACAAAGACAGCAAATCAAATGGTTTGTCCGCTTGGAGAGAATGCCTTCTGATGTTATACCATTCAATGCATATACCGAAAGAGGGGAGGAACGTAGCGCATGAAGTAGACAAAGAACAAGATGGAAGGATAACATCAGAGAAACTTCACAGCACTGCGATGGGTCTTTGGTCGAAGCAGCCATAAGAGCACGAAGCAGGACCCCTTATAACTCTCCCGACACCCGAAGCGGTAAAAGAGAACGTTAAGAAGACAGAAAAAGACTCATAGAAAGAAGTAGACAGATTGAAGTAAAGTTGAAAAAAAAAAGTAAAGATCCCTTTTCACGCCTTTAGGCGCATCGGGCATACTGGGAGGGAGCCCATATTTACGGACCATCGACACTAAGTGGGTAATGTGGTCAGCATTACACCGGCCCTCTTTACTTCCCCAGGACAGCCATCCTGGTACCCATTTTGGGCTGGGTCGACCTGCGACGTCCTATACCATGATAAAATTCTATGCAACCAGCAGTGGGTTTCGATCGCGGTACGATGGAATTACGAGTCGGACTCGCAACGCCTAAGCCACGAACGCCAGACAAGATAGCTGGAAGAGCCACTATTTAACGTTATCTAGTGTGTCTTTCTTTCTTTTTCTTTCCATCAGTGCCGATCAATAAATTGTCTGTTTATCGATCATGTGTAACGAAAGACAACAACACGTTAGTGGACATCTGTTGTAAACCTGTATTCCTCCACCTGTTTACACCTGCAGACCGACACAACGAGGAAAACTGTTTCACAGAGCTCCTGACAGTTTCAATAAAAATGTAGAAAACAGTTTATTTGTTAACTCCAATGTCCTCGAATTACAAACTTTAGCTAATGCTTACAGTATAAATTCTGATACATGTGACTCGCGTGTTGTTTCTGAGATACGAAGCGCTGCAATAATTTATATCCGATTTCTCTGTCAAGTTGTTTACTACTGACATGCTTGAGAAAGGCTTTTCATTGATCTTTGATGGTTGTACCTATATTTCAGGCGCCAAAAGTTGTCGCAAACAATTCATCAACTTCCGTGCAGCATAAATGTGCTAAAACCATGCAGCCATTACAAGATTAGGTTAACATGTTTGACCCACCAGTTAAACAGCACTGTTCTAAAGGTATTTGTTAAGCAGTAACAAGTTTAACGAAGAAGTCTTTCAACGATGTTCTCCAGCAAATTTAGAACAAAAGGTGTCATGAAGCTGTCACGTTATATGGCAATGCTGTCACGTTATATGGCAATCTTCAAGGGTCGCTGCAATTCTAAAGGTGTGCCACACAAGTTCTACCACGAAAAGACTGTCCGGATCTTCGATTTGACCTCTCCTGATGTTGGCGTTGAGGTCAATAAACAAGTTGGTAATCGCGTCGTCCCTAATTACACATATTTCTGCCCCAGTTTGGGAGGCAAGGTTTTTTATTTTCAAGCCCCACCCTGGCTTTAATCAGGGCCCTAATATAACCTCACGGTTGAACAGGGTTTATAGGGCTTGCGCCCGGCTGATCCTCATCCGAATGGTGGCACTTTGTGTCACCAGTTGTTGGTCGCTCGCTGTACGATGCCGATGGGGTTGAACGATACATCATTCCTGAGAAAATCAATGTAAGGACTAAACAAATTAAGCAGAGCAACTGCCTCCTGGACTTCCTAAAACGCACGGACTTCCTAAAACACCAGGACTTCCTAAAACGCCTGGACTTCCTAAAACACCTGGACTTCCTAAAACACCTGGACTTCCTAAAACGCCTGGACTTCCTAAAACGCCTGTACTTCCCGAAACGCCTGGACTTCCTGAAACACCTGGACTTTCCAAAACACATGGACTTTCCGAAACGGCTGGACTTCCCAAAACGCCTGGACTTCCTGAAACGCCTGGACTTCCTGAAACATCTGGACTTCCTGAAACGCCTGGACTTCTCAAAACACCTGGATTTCCTGAAACACCTGGACTTTCCGAAACGCCTGGACTTCCTGAAACCCCTGGACTTCCTGAAACACCTGGACTTTCTGAAACGCCTGGACTTCCTGAAATGCCTGGACTTCCTGAAACACCTGGACTTTCTGAAACACCTGGACTTTCCAAAACACCTGGACTTCCTGAAACACCAGGACTTTCTAAAACGCCTGGACTTCCTAAAACACCTGGACTTCCTAAAACGCCTGGACTTCCCGAAACGCCTGTACTTCCCGAAACGCCTGGACTTCCTGAAACACCTGGACTTTCCAAAACACCTGGACTTCCTGAAACGCCTGGACTTCTCAAAACACCTGGACTTCCTGAAACACCTGGACTTTCTGAAACACCTGGACTTCCTGAAACGCCTGGACTTCTCAAAACACCTGGACTTCCTGAAACACCTGGACTTCTCAAAACACCTGGACTTCCTGAAAAACCTGGACTTCCTGAAAAGTGCCAAGAGAAAAGAAGCTCCGAAAGGGAGACCAGTGAGAAGGGTGTAAAGGTAGCTCCCAAAAGTGTGTCTGCACAGCCAAGGGAAGCCCACTTTCTGAGCACAAATCTCATCAAACCCGAATTTCTCGCACCAGTTCCATGTGACATTATTGACTTCAATCTAATAAATTTGGTAAACTTAAAAAAAAAGTACATGTTAACCGTAGAAATCGGTAAACGAAGAACACGTTAAACAAAAAGCAACTGCGTGTATCTTGGGATCAAATTTTTAATTGTAGTTATAAAAAAGGAATAATCAAACTCTCGGCTGAAAATCATATATGGCAACTCTACAGTTTAGTTACAAGTAAAGGAAAACATAGGTAATGTTAAAACTCTGAAAATGTAAAATCTCAGACAAACACACAAAATCATCTGTTTTCACATAAAAGAAATATTTCAATCAATCAATATGGCACTACAAACGTCAAAACTCTGAACTCCACCACATCAGGTGTCTATTCGTAATATGTAACCTCTGACCTTTGCTCTGTGAGGATGGGAGTTGAAGTGTGCTCTCACGCGCGGACACACAAACACAGGTGAATAGGAATGAGGGTTTACAAGGCACATAGCAACAGAACACATCCTAGCCTCAAGTACTCCTGTAACGTGGCAAGGGGGAACAGTATCAATGTATCGCAATCATAGCGGCAAATTACCAACAGGAAAAGGAATTCACAGGATCAAGTCCTAATTTGCTGAGAATATTAGTAAAATAAACTTAACACATTTATTATCTTGGCAATAATGTGTGCTAGTTTTAACTGTAGAATAGTTGTTGTTGGTCTCTTTCCGTCTGTGCAGGCCACAGTGTTGTGTTGTGCTACGGAGAGGAAAGGGAATCAGTCAGTGGTGATGGCGAGTGTGAAAAGTAGCAGCTGTTGTTACTGCTGTTGTTGTAATAGAACATATTACTATCAGATCTCCAGGCATGCAGGCTATCTACTGCGCCAACAGCGCTCTTTTGTTCAAGTATGGTCAGTAACGAGCAGCGCAGATTGCAGCAAAATACGCACCACTGCCACAAAGTTTAGGTCTGACAAACAAAGTTTAGGTCTCACGAACAAAGTTTAGGTGTGTCCAGAATAAACTGTAGGTCTCCACACAATATCGGCTAAGTGTGCACGTAACAAAGTTTAGGTAGGTATATAACATATTTTACAAATGAAAATTGCAAACAAACCAAACATTGAATTTCAATTTGTTTAAGTTTAGCTAAGCCGAACAAAGTTTACATGCGGCTTGAACGTTTTACTATGTAGTCTCTAGAGCTACCAGAAAGGCAGCGTCTGGGCTGGAAACCCCCCCCCCCCCCCCCTCCCTGAGAGTATGAGGAACTGGTCTACTAAATAAAGCAACCCAACAGTCATTTTTTTAAATGCAGACGGCCATAAACGCACAGCTATCCTGCGTAAGTCTAGCTTTCTTTCTTGTGTGTATGTGTGGTAACTTCTAAGGTGTATGTCCGTCCTTTCATGGAACGCTGATTCCCTCTTACTTGTATACAGATTCCATTTGCCGCTGGTTAAGATTCCCATACAAGAAACTACACGAGAGGAAACTTTAAAACAAGGATCAGTACAATATGGCCTGGTTCTATTAGTGGGCAAAATCACTCAGAGAAAACACGTTACAACTCAGTTGTGAAAGCAACTCAGTATGCATTTTGTTCAAACAAACACATAACAAATCAAAGATAATATAATCTGAATCAGGCAATGCTATACACAACACAGGCTGCCATGCTACGATGGTGTCATTCCTTAGCTTTAAACAAATGTTTCTCAAATTTTGCTACAGAAGGAAGTAGCTGGACTTGTCTATCGGGGAAAAGGGGGGGGGAGAAGGGTGATCTGGCTATGAGCCAGCCCACCCACCATGCGCTGCTAGTTGTTTCGTAGCCGTAAAAGGGGTGGGGGGGGATATATATAACTGTTATACAGCTCAACAGGATTCCTGGAAGTCGCTTCTGCTGAATTCCATCCCAACAGTGGCTCATCGAGTCACTGGGTGGAAGTTTCCCAGGTAGCAATTTGAGGGAAGGGAAACACAAAGGGTAGGGGGAAACGTGTGAGGGGGAGGGGGGGGGGTGGAAATTAGATGTGATCAGTTTGGTCATATTTCAATCTTATAATAACAACAATATATCTCTAAAATAAAGATTGACAAGACCAATAGTTAGGACCGACTAGGATCTAGAAGTCGATTCCAATGTTTGCATCAAGAACTGCCGTCTAAACAAGTGTCTGAGAAATGAGGCAGACGTCAGGACACTGTGACATACACTGGTGACTGTTGAAGAGACGACTGCGTGGCGACTGGTTTTGGTCGTTCACTGGATGTAAGCTCCGGCGGAAAGTTCTGGTTGTTCGTCCTTTTGGACTGTGGTTTTGTGTCAGGGCCCGAGAATTTACGTGTACATCTGTTTGACTGGCTTATTTCGGTCCTTTTAGCCGTTCCTTGCTGCGCGGGCAGATGCATGGTAACTTCGAAGGAAGTCCCCAATTAGTCTACTTCTACGACATATGTGCTGGGTCTATGCACGTCCCCCCCCCCCCCTTCCCCCATCATGGGACCCCAGAACCCACACGAGGAGCTGGTTACAATAACTAGACTGTACTCAGAAACTCATCCACACAATAGAAGAAACAAACAGAGTTGAAAATACATAGTTCTGACTGTGTCCTGTAGACACTGATCAATTTATGTGTTGTAAATGTTCTATTGCCAGTTCTCTCCCCTCTTTTCTAGTTCTGATTTCTCGAACCTGCATAAAAATTAATTAAAACAATAAACATTTCACGGAAGGACAACTTCAAATCAATATTCAATCATCAAGCTTCAAACATTGAAACCAAAGTATTAGTATTTTTGAAAAATAAAAATATGAGTAATTATTAGTATGAAACCCTTCATAATGGCAATCAAAACAACTGCAAGTTAAATCTATTTAAAAGTCAATCAATTTTTAAATATGGCACCCAGGTACTATTTGTTAACATGTTAAAAACATCATCTGGTTAAAATATATAGTTTTCTAAGAGTAATAAAAAACAAAAGCAAATAAAATGTTAACAAAAATCCAACATATATGTGTACAGGCTTGACCACAGACAGTCCACGCCACACTGTTAATACATTGCATTGGGAAAACTGTATATAATAGTAACGTTAAAGTTAACATTATACCACAATCAACAGAAACAGCAATTTTCTCTTTTCCAACGTTAACAGTTTTTTTAAACAAAAGGAAAACTGCTAGGGACACTCAGAAAGTAACGCCCCCCACATTTTTTTTTTTCTAGCAAACTATTTCTGGAAAATGTACAACATCCACTCACAATACAAACCATAATGACCTGTAGGTGCAATAATATTCTTTACTATAACAGTCCACTACTATGACCTGAAGCCAGGCATGTGCGCTTTCCTGTATGGTATGTGGTGTTTCCTGTTTTTCCTACTCATTTCTTTACGAATTACATCCCCTGACGCATCTTTCAGCCTTCTGAAACTAGAACTATCTGAACCCAGCGACTAACGATGCTCCTATCGCCTGCACAACTTCCATACACAGCATGCACATGTTGAAAATGTTGACCCAAGTTTCTTGTTCTGCAACTAGAAATTTTACGGTAGTTCACTATTTGTAATGCACATTATATCCACTCTCTAGTTAAACGGATTACTGCAGATGTTTTTATTTCGGATGGGATGCAATTTCGCACCAACAAAACTGGCATTTCAAATTCTAAGTGTAAATTTTCTCCTGTTTCTTATTCAATATTACATTAGAGAACAAATTCAGGGGCCTTACTTTCTGAACGCCATCGTATTTCTTTACATTCTTTTAACACTATTATAACAGCACTGACATGTACAACGTTTACAGGTACATCAACGTTTACAGCGACAACAACATTCACAGGTAAAACAACATTGACAGGGAGAACGATGTTGACAGGTACAACAGCAAGAACAGGTACAACAACATTGACAGTTACAACAACATTGACAGGTACAACAACACTGACAGAAAAAAACAACCATCCCGTCACCTTCCAACGTTAACATGTAAATAAGGAAAAGCAACTATTATCTTACATTTACACGTGAACATTATAAAGTCAACGGATAAAACAACTACTCCCAAATTTTACCAAAATATTATTGCATAAAAATATGAATAAGAATTTGTATTTGGGCTCGCCAGCCACTTCTCGTGCATGCCGTAAAAGATTTACTATTATGCCAAAATCACAAATAAAGTAACACGTTTCTGATATTGCCCATCAAAAAAAAAAAAAAAAGTCAACACAACAAAACTCACTGCAGAAAACCGATAAATGACTTGTACAAGCAAGCAATGATAGAAAAATAATTCGGCTTTTCACAACGTGTTGTTCCAGCGCCAACAAGGGGGAAGCCTATTTACAAGACGTGAATCGGGGGACGTAATCACACAAGGGGGAGCACTGCGTGTAGCTGCCTGTTGGAGAGACGCGTACACACAATAAACGCTTAGGGAAACAAATGTACACAATGTATGTACACACTCATATAGTCAACTGCTACTGTACACAAACCGATAGAATCTTCTTGAAAACATTTTTTCCTCCAACGTATATACAAAGCTGTGTGACCCATACGCTTCGCAATTTTGAAACACTCTATCCAATTCCAGCTGATGGCGATTGGGCAAAGCCCAACTTTGCATTAATTTCGACAATTGCCTCGAGAGCCGAACCTTGAGAGCAATGGCAAACTAATACATGTAGGATTACCCGGTGAAATCACACACAGCCAAACAATTCTGGCGCTGGTTGTATAGCGTTCTGCAGAGGATACGGAACTAACTTTAAATGGTATACGTTTGTCTTCCAATGTAGCGATGAGGAGTTCGATCCTCAGGTGGAGACGGGATTAATTGCTATGGCTTTAGGGTGGACCCAGCCTTTTCAGAATGGGTACCAGAAAAAAGTGGAACATTCCAGCAAAGACTACAGGGGACAAGAAATGGCCACCCTAACTTATATGTAGCGACCTAGAATATGTGTATGTGCGCTGGGTTTACCTTGAACTATAGACCAGGTGTCGGTGGCTTGGATAAGACAAGTTCCTTGAGATGACATCTCAGTTTATGGCCCACCGCAGTGGATTAGGCGCAGGACCAGATGGCTGAAGAAAGGAAAGGACAAGTGGGGGTTGGGGAGAGGGTGGAAATGCTTAAAAAAGCTGCCCTTTTCTTTCAATGGCGTTAGGAATCACACCAGGTAGAGGATTTCCTCTTCCCACATTTCCTTTCTTACGTTTTCACCAATCTTGTCCCCATGTGTGGGTTCCGTGCCCTTGGTGGTGGGGGTGGTAGGGCAAGCATGAAGTAAAAAGGTGACTGATTAGATCTGTGCTGAAAGCGACGCATTATTATGAAAAGCGCAGATGTGTAACTGTACACAAAAACACTGCGTGCGAGCCAGCTTTTTTAGAAGACAGAACAGGTGGAGGAACAAGTTCTGCATATTTCTGGGGTCACTTCTCTTTTACTGACACGTGCGTTTGTCAAGGCCATGCACGAACAGCTATAACACCCCCCCCCTCCCTGTTCTCCCTGCCAATGATGGTCAGATGACAAGGTCACAAGGCCTCTATGGAAGCAACGCTTGCCCTCCACTGATTGTTACAGTGTGGTCATCACGGGAATGCCACGTGACCAGACCTAGGACTTGTTTACTGCAATGCAGATGCATGTCTGAAGAAGATGTTCAGTATTTTGAAACATATAAAAATTATACAAAGTGATAACAAACTAGATGGCAGCACATGCAACCCGTGCTAATATACTCAGACGTCTCAGTAACCAATATACAAACACTGAAACCTCTAAGACAGCGTCTATATTCCAAGTTTTTCAGAGAAGAAAAAAAAGGCAACGAAACATGGCACTGTAGAAGACTAGATAAAGAACAGAAAAGACACTGGGAGGTAAAGAAGTGGGGCTAACATTGAGTGGCGGTAAGTGAAACTGACACAGCGAGAAAGACACAGCCCAAACTTGAGCCATAAAAATAACAGTTTAAGGAAGATTTTTAAAAATGTGTTAAAACATAATAAAGTTTTCGACTAAAATTTCTTAAGCGGTCAATGAAGAAACTTTAAAAAACGGACAAGCAAATTTTGTGAAACGAAATATAACTGACATACAGTGGTATTTACGTTTATGGCGAAGAAATATAAAATCAAAAAAGTTTAAAAACAAAATCAAATGTTTTAAATGTATCAATAATAATAAAAAAAAATAACTAAACAAAGAGAATGCAAGCAAGATCTTAATAAACAAACAGAAATGGAATAACGAAGGGAAGCAACTAGTTGACAAGAGACACAACAGACTATTCAAAATGTAAAAAGAAAGAGTAGTATTGGCGAAGAAATCAAATGGGACCAAAAACAAATCACAGCAGTGAACCAAAACTTCAGTTGGTCATCAGGGAAAAGCCAGTCTGAAGCGACTAAAAACTCAACAAAATAAATGGTTTATACAAAAGCTGGCAAAATACCTGATAATTGTCAGGTCTATCAAATAACAAACAAACAAACAATAAATGGCACACATAATCAAGGATGATACCACAACTACAGCTGCTATTCAACTGGAAGTACAGCAAAACAGGCAAATGAATGACACTATCAAATTTTACAAGCAAATGGCATATGATTACTTTGTACTTCGCAGTAGTTACTCTGAATCTTGCTGAAAACATTTTGTCCCTTAACGACCTCACACAACAAACATCGTGAGATTTGTTGGTTGTCTAAAAAAAAAAAAAGCAGATAATATAAAGAATTCATGAGACACAACAGAACAAGCCACCAATCACTATAAATGGGATCCTACGGGTCCAGTATTGATTAAATACCAGGTGTGTCTCATTGTTTTCTGGTAGCATGCCGGATATTTGGTTTTTTACTTTGAGTCTGAACTTCAGACATATTCAGCAGTAGATGGTTGTTTTGCACTCCTATTGAAACTTATCATTACTGATTTAGTCATCATTATTATTTTTATTATTTTAGTTTCGTTAACCAATCAGGTCCAAGCGATCATGCCTGGTTTATGTAACAATTTGCAGACGTGTGCCAGTTAGGATGCTCAAAATGGCACATGATAGTAGTGGGAGAGGGGGATACAATACATGAGAGCAAGACTCCTCTAGAATTATACAAATCCAACCTATACAAATCCAACCAAACAACATGATGATGAGGAACATGATGATGATGACGATGATGTATGGAAAACAGTCATTCAATAAAACTGATAGGCTCTGGCCGCATCATTTCCGTGGCCAATGAAACACAAGGACACAAAATCAATGGCACTGTCTATTTATATCAACCAATCATATTTCTGGCGGCAATTATGGTTTTTCAATGCACGCTAAATTTGTACAGAAGACTATGCCGTGTGTTGACCACAACAAATGGTCAATGGTCCAAGTAACGGTACACTGTCCGTGTAGTTTTTGGCCCGAATCATGCATCAGTCGGCTACAAACAACATAATTATGCTTATTTCAATAACAAAGACATACAAACGTATAGTATCAACATATAACATGTGTGATATTATGTCTAAAATGAGTGTGCATCACAACAATGGCAGAACATTTCTGGAGTGGCAAATAACAACCTGAAGTTACTGTTCGTAAACAGTTAGTGTTGGTCTTCCCCTATGGCAAGACAGGTTCTGTCTGTTTAGACAGCCTGCAGAAAAGGACAACACATGAACATACGTATAAGATGCATTGGATTATCCCTGATAGCCAGTTATGTTGTCGGGCTGGTTTCGTCTAGCGGATTGGTTTCGCTGTGAGGATTAGTTTCACCGTTGGATTCTGAGCTCATGTCTCCATGATCTGCCACAAGGAGTCTCCCAGTTCGGTTCTCCACGCACTTGCGCATGTGTTTTTCAAGTGTGCTGGGCACGGAGAAAGGCATGTTGCAGAACTTGCAGGGATAGACATCCTTGCCGAACCGTCCGTGGGTCTTCATGTGTCTGGTTAACTTGCTGGATTGAGCACACGCGTAGCTGCAGAGGTTGCACTTGTAGGGTTTCTCGCCAGTGTGTGACCGTCGGTGTACCGTTAAATTGCTGCAGTTTTTAAACACCTTCCCGCAGTATTCGCATGTGTCATTTCTCCTATGCTCCTTCCTCGGCGTGGCTGCTGCGCTGCCGCCGTTGATGGACAGTAAAAGGTTGCTTGTTGGGCTACTACTGGTGCTCGATGATCCCAGGAAGTGTGACGGGTATGCTGGCGGACTGGTCAATCTAGGTTTCAGCAGAGAAGTTCCCTGACTCTCTGCTTTTAAGGCACTGGTTGTGGGCACAGTGGGGCTGAGGTTGACGCCGTTGTGGTTCTCGGTGTTGAGATCGTGGGCGCTGGAGAAGCGAGGGGGGTAGCTGGGGAAGAATAGTCTAATGGGGCTGTCAGCCGTGAGCCAGGACGGAAGGATACGGGGGTAAGCCGACGCTGCTGCAGGATCGATGTTATTGGCAGAGGCAGCCTCTATTGTTGACGGCCAAACTGAAGAAGACATTTCTTCTTTTACTGATTTGCTACGGTGACCTGACAATACACGTCGCCTTTGACTTTCTTTAGCAGAGTCCTTGTCAGAGCCGAGTTCCCGTTTGACTCCAAATGCCTTTGAACGTGCTCTCTCTGGACTATCAGTTTCGACAACTCTAGTACCATCTGTTGTGTCTCTATCTCCGCTGTGACCACTCTCCTTCTGACTTTCAGCTAAAGCTGCTTTGTAGGCTTCGCTGTAAGTCTGGATGTCGTTCAAACCAGTCCGTTTCATGACCTCGCTGAGTAAACTCTCCGAAGGCTTGGCTTTGAACCTCAGGTCACTTGGCAAGCTATATTCCTCATCTCTCTCGTCGATGTTCAGTTCTAATTTGATCTTCTTGGCTTCGGGGCTGATTTCTCCCGGCTCGCGAGAACGCTCGCGAGTTTTCTGCAGTTCTTCGTGCTTTTCAATCACCTCCTCGTCGTTGAAATCATCTTCCACTATATCACCTTCATCATCGCCCTCCTCCTCTTCTTCTTCTTCCTCCTCCTCTTCTTCATCCTCATCATCATCGTCTTCATCATCGTCGTCATCATCATCAACATCATTAACTTCTCCATCTTTATGGTTAGGCATAGCATTAGATATTTCTTCCTCCTCCTCTTCTTTAACTTTGTTCGCATGGGTCTTCATGTGCCTCTTGAGTTTACTCTGCTGAGTGCAAGCATGGGGACAATGGGGACACTTGTAAGGCTTCTCCCCGGTGTGTGAGCGCCTGTGGACCACCAGATTACTCAGAAACCGGAACGATTTCCCACAAAATTCACATGCTTTCTGCTTTGGGGGTAAAATCAAAGCCGAAGCCAAACTGCTTCTTCTTGAAGACAAGGTCAGCGAGGCTTCGGCAGGAGGGCTTTCGGCCTTGGAGGAGGATGGGGTCACGGCAACATTGGGTGGCTGCGGCTGACTTGAGGCAGAGAACTGTGATTTCGACTGAGGTACCACTGGAGAGCTGGCCAACTGCTTGAGACGCATGGAGTAGAAGTCATACTGGGAGTCCAGCACTGGTGAAATGTGTGCCCGTGCACGGTCTAATGTGAAGGAAGAATGTTCGAGACCCGAACCTCCTCGGCCGATCAGCTGCGGACGTAATCGGTAATCGCTGATAAGATCAAAATCGAAGTTGGGAGGACGAGAGAACGGACTCAGAGAAGTGGGGTGGGACAAGCGGGAGTCCAAGGGCAATCTGAAAGGCGATGTGAAAGGATTCGGGGCGTGTACAGGGTAGGGCGAGGATGAGCCATTACTGCCAGACGACATGGATCTGTGATCGAGACCTGACCGAGGTGACGACGAGGCCACAATCAAATCTATGGGAGACATGCCGCTGGTTAAGGGCGTGGACGCCGGGGACGACTGCTGGTAGTGGCTGCCGGTAGAGCTGGGGCTTGTGTAGATCTTCATCCCGTGCTCCTTCTGGGCGTGTTGCAGCAGAGCCCAGGCTGAGGTATACGTGCTGCGGCACGTCTCGCAGACAAACCTTGACGGTTCTGAAATAAACACAGATTTACATGTAGTTAGTTAAAGCCAAGATCAGCAAGCATAGTTTCAAATCTGAAATCTACATCTGATAGAGGACGTATTGCCACCCTGGGCCCAAACGCAGCCTTTCTGTAAGTGATGTACTCACTAAAGAATCGTGTAAAGAACTGTTTTCCGCACCTTCCAGTGTACAGGTGTAGAGCACTGGACTCATAGAGTACAGACCAGAATACTACAACCACGGCTCGCCGAAAAGTTCAGAAGGTGCGCCAAATAGTTCAGACCAATCATGTTATAAGAGAAGAATATTCATTTCTGGGTTATGAAGCTTTCAGATTATTTCCCATTTTCTCGATTTACTTTTTGCACGAAAAGACGTTTGTTTATTCCAGCCATGCGAGTAAGGAACACAAAAATGGATGTACAGTGACAGAATAGGGTTGGCGTTGTTTCTGTTTCCTACCCGACCCACTCCTGCCTGGATCAAATCCATGAAGATGTTGAGCACGCCGTTACTCTTTTATTATCTTTATTTCTTCTATCAGCGTTTCTCTTGTTCTCGTCGTCGTCGTAGTCGTAGCAGTAGTAGCAGCAGCAGCAGCAGTAGTAGTAGTAGTAGTAGGAGTAGTAGTAGTAGTAATAGGAGTAGTAGGAGTAGTAGTAGTAGTAGTAGTAGTAGTAGTAGTAGTAGTAGTAGTAGTAGTAGTAGCAGCAGCAATAGCAGCAGCAGTAGCAATGATGGTGGTGGTCGTAGTGGAGGAGGAGGAGGAGGAGGAGGAGGTGGAGAAGAAGAAAACTCATCTCATCACAGCCCACAATTGGCGGGAACCGCTCGTGCGACCCCACAAGGAAGCCCCACAATTAAACGGTGGACTGGCTAGAAACAAGAGTGCTAGATACCGGGAAACGGTCCTGGCAGAACATTTATGACACCAACGTCAATAAATCTCTGAGAAAGTATCAGGAGCCCAACACCAGATAGCCCTATGCTGCCGAAATCTTCAAAGCGCTACTCTCTGGGCATAACACGTTCGACAAAAGTCGGTTGAGAAACCCAGCGGGCAGGAGCATTTGTTGGTAGCAGCTGAGGAACGCTGACCAGAGATGGGGAATGGAAACAACTGAGAGAAAATCTCATTTCTTGGCTCGGCAGGGGAGATAATTCGTAACCGCAACACCAAAGGGCAGTAAATCACGGCAGCAGTAACAGCTCCAGGGGTTATAGATATCCAACTCGTACTTAACCATTCATGGGGAGGGGCATAAAGGTCGCTCTTGGAAGAAACTAGGTCACTGACCTATTGGGCATACATAAGACTGGCATATGACCAGGGCGGTTGTTTTTTTTTTTTAAAGAAAATTTTTTTTAGGGGGTAAAACGATTGAGTTACCAAAAACATGACCCTGGTCGTTTCTACTATCACCATAACATTTCTTAGCATTCGAAATGCTATTACTGCTGCCCTCTTGTGGGGTGCAATTTTTGATTTGTTGAAGCCCCACCTTGGCTTTTGCCGGGGGCCCTGAATATAGATGGACCATAATTGTGGCAATGGCGGCTGAAGGGGGTTTCTGGGACCTCTCCACGGGTGATCCTAATCCGCATGGTGGCACTTTGTGTCACCGGGTGTTTATCGCTTGTGTGATGTCCTCCTGGTGGGGTACAACTTACATACATACACAGCATTCGCCAGCTGTACAAACTTCTGACTGTTCGTCCACTTCTGGACTTATTCTGGAACCTAACGGTTTTGTTATGCACATATATTGGTCTGATCTGGCTTATATGTATGCAGACTGTTGGTTTCTCAGCTTTCATACAGATGCACGTCGACTTCGAAGGAAACACGCCCAGCTAATCAATTGTTACAACTTTTTGGGGGTAGTGGGTCCATTTACCCCCCCCCCCCCCCCCCCCCCTCCCGCCACAAATGGAGTCCCAGAACTTATATGGGGGACAGAAATACTCAAAAAGGTACTGCTTGAAGGACATTTCTTCTTTCACCTGTTTCTGCGTTCGCCCATAAAAATGTGGCTGGCACCTTAGGATACGGTTCACAGCTAGGCTGCGATACAGGCACCTTTCGGTTGAACACATCCGATTCACTAAACTTTCAATTAGTCATCTTTTATTTATCCTGTTAGTGCACAATGGGGCAATCCTCTTCTCCCCTCCCCTCCCTCTCCATCCTGCCCCTTTTCAAATGGGGACTGGGAAATCGATACGGGAAGGAAGAATGGAACAGTGGTTTTAACATCTCAAAGTTTTAATGCGTTCTCCAGATCGGTTAGGGGAGGGGGGGGGGGGCGTTTAAAATGGTGGGCGCGCTTACTGCCAAACGGTGAAACTGTTAGGTCAGATTGCAAGACTACCAGAGAGTCGGTGAGGGGAACTGTACCGGGGGCAGCAGACGTGATAGAAGAAAGCGGGCATGTAGACGTCTACTTCCTTCTTTGTGTCTCTCTATGTTAGCCTGAGTCATTTACAAGCTGGGGGACGGAATGGTGGGATACCTGGGGGAAGGTAGGACCAGTGGTAGGCAATGGTTTTTCTTTTATTCCTCCCTCGCCTCAGTCAGTCAGAGCACTCAGAGCTGTCGGCTCGGAAGTTCAGGGGCCCATGCGTGTTTGGGAAATGATTTAACCTGCGGATAGTTTAGAGAAGTAGGAGAATGGGTAACACCCAGGCACAATTCTATCCAAATATCTTACCCCAGACAGAAAGTCGAATATTTTAGGGAGTGGGACCTAGGCTGCATGCAGTCGTGGGACCTAGGCTGCATTCCCTGTGGGACATAGGTGGGTTGGGGTTAGGTCCAGTTCTAGGGGTTTTGGGGTAGTTAAAAGCATCAGAAAGTCAGGAAACCCGCACTTACCACCCTTGAAAATATTGGACTGTCCTGTGTCGTCACGCTGGGAAAATATTGGTAAAGCATCCCGGGCACACAGAGAGAGAGAGAGAGAGGGGGGGCAGAGAGAGAGAGGCACAGACGCAGACAAAGAGAGTCAGAGATACATATACAGGGACAGATATATATACATTTATTTATATATAGAGAGAGAGACAGCGTGAGAATACATACACACACAATGTGATAGGGAGAGCGAGAGAGATATATGAAGAGAAAGAGAATGTTCATAATTTTATGAAAATTGACCAGGAAGTAATGGCGACCCGGAAGTATCGTATGCAGTTTCCAGGACATCTGTAGGGTCTAATGCTCCACCCCCCCCCTTCCCAGCAGTATTTGCTTCTGTTCCCTGACTACCTACTACATACGTGTGTCCATTCCTGTAGACAAAAACGGGGCCTCAGAGACGTAACAGTGGAAAATACTTATCTCTAGCGAGACCACACAGGTGGAGCACCTTGTAAGGAGGAAAAGAACAGCTTGTGAAAACATGTAAATTTCCCTACATGGCATTGGGCCAAAGGGCGAAAGCTCATGCGCCGCTGGATCAACAACAACAACAACAACAACAACAGCAGCAACAACAACAACAACAACCTCTAGCGAGGACTGCACCGGACCAATATTCTGAAAGTCTGGGGCAGTAACTAATACGCCACCGTGGCAAATTCAACTGTCAGAAACTGGACAATCCAACTTATGTCTTCAGCAAAGACACATGTAATAATTAGAAACGACAATCAGACGCATGTCTTCAGCTAAGACACAGTAAATAGTTCGAAACTAGACAATCAGATTAATGGCGTTTTCAGCTCAGATACTCAATGCTGTCATTGGCTTCTCGCTGGGGCATTTCAACACAGCAAGAGACAAAATAATAAACGAGGTCATGAGAGAAGTGGCGGCAGAGAACCCATTTAAATCAACACAAAGACAGCAAATAAAATAGTCTGACCTCTAAGAAACCCTAACCCTATACTACTACTATAGTCCTTTTTAGGACGTAATTTTTTGTTATTTGAAGCCCCACTCTGGCTTTTGCCAGGGGCCGCAATATAGGCAGGCCATAAATATGGCCAATTGTCTGAACGCGGTTTCTGGGACCTCTCCACGGCGATCCTCATCCACATGGTGGCACTTTGTGTCATCGGGTATTTATCGCTTGTGTGATCGCCTGGTGGGGTAGAAATTCATTCATTCATTCAAGAATGCCTTGTGACACCATACTCTCACACGGCTTACCCTGAAAGAGGACACGGACGTGGTGGAGCTCGAGGTAGACCATCAATCAGATAGAAAGATAACATAAACTCTACACCAGCACGTTGTGTCTCTGGTCGAGGCAGCCGGGAGAACAAGAAGCAAAACCTGATATTACACTCGACACCTCAACGGCTAGAATAGATCTGTAACTCTGAGTTGATCGTGTTGGCTGTACATTCTCTCAGCCTTCAGTTCTCCTTTCTCTTCGTGTTATTCCTCTGCCTCTCCATTTCCTTGACGTTATCCCTCTTCCTTCCATTGACGTTGTCCCTCTTACTTCCATTTATGTTATTCCTCTACCTCTTCTTTGATGTTATTTCTCTACCTCTCCCATTCCTTAACGTTACTGCTCTACCTCTCCCTTCCCTTGACGTTATCGCTCTACATTTCCCTTTCCTTGACGTTATCGCTCTACCTCTCCCTTCCCTTGACGTTATCCCACTACCTCTCCCTTCCGCTATCGTTATCTCTTTACCTCTCTCTTCCCTTGATGTTATCTCTCTACTTCTCCCTTCCCTTGACGTTATCGCTCTACCTCTAACTTCGCTTCACGTTATCCTTCTACATCTCCCTTTCATTGACGTTATCGCTCTCTACATCTCCCTTTCCTTGACGTTATTTCTCTACCTCTCCCATCCCTCGATGTTATGCCTCTACCTCTCCCTTCCCTTGACGTTATCGCTCTACCTCTTCCTTCCCTTGATGTTATTGCTCAACCTCTCCCTTTCCTTGATGTTATTGCTCAACCTCTCCCTTCCCTTGACGTAATCTCTCAACCTCTCCCTTCCCTTGATGTTTTCCATTCACCTGTCTATTCTTGCTCGGTTGTCTTT